CTTACTTAAAACACTAAATGCTTTCTAACCTAGAGCAATCTATTAAAAGTATTTTAGTTTTAAAGTAGGCTTTAACAACAAATCAGCGAATAGCATCAAATGGGTTTTTATCAAGGTCTGTATGGATAAATAGTTATTTTTTAATCATATTTGCTTAACTTATATTTCTAAAAAAATATAGTTATATTATTTTTGAACAATTATACCTTATTCCCTCTTCTTTGTAGGTGTAGTAAAGAGCTAAAGTTATGTGAAAGCAACTGGTTTCGCGAATACCGTCGGCTCATTTTGCACTATTCAAGTTACATCAGCTTTGGTCTTGGAAATGTTTGTGAGACAACTTCTGCATGGATTACGATGCTCGTTTCCGTGGAACGCTATCTTTCTATCCGTTGGCCCCATCTATCCAAGCTTTACTGCACTCAACGACTAGGCCGTATTCAAGTGGTCGCAATCGCCTGCTTAGCAACCCTTTTCAACTTGCCTTTCTTCTTTGCTGTCAGAAGGGCTGAAACAGTGTTCAACAACGCTACGCGATACCAAAACCAAATGACTAAATTTGGCAAGTCGGTGCACTATGAAGTCTACACCTGGGTCAATTTTATGCTGACTAAGTTGATCCCGCTAGCCATTCTCTGCATTGTCAGTGGCCTACTTATTCATCTCATATCTTCCACATATCGGCGTCAGCGACGAAATAAGATATTCCTACAGTTGCCCAGCCATAATCTAGTTGAACCTGAGCCTACTGTCTCGAGGACACCATTGCAATATTCTAACGAAGAAAAAAACGCTGGTTTTAACATTGATTCTAGCATCCTCATAAAGAAGAGAAGTTCTCCTTCGATGAATATAGCTCCTTCTATAATCGTCGACAAAACATTCAATACGACTAATTCGGTTGATTTTTCTGTAGCCGAGAGCAGCATTCTTGAAGGAGGGCCGATTAAACACCGTACCGACTCACTACAGCGTAGGTGTCGTGGCCGTCGTTGGGGTGGATCCCGACAGCCTTGGTCAAGCAAAGTCGAAGGCAACTGCTTGAGAAGAACAACAGAGCATATGAATCACGTAGATGAGGCTTCGGATTTGACTAGACCAGTAGTTGAAGAGATACAAATTGACTCTATGCCTTGTGAAGTCATTGAGAGCACTGACATTTATTCAACTTCACAGGAAACTGCTTCGCCTGGAGGGGCATTAATGGCCGTATCCGAATCAGACGGGAACGTTGGAGACAGTTTGTATTACCAAAAGAATAATGCCTGTAAACTTGAATCCATTGAGCCGTCTAGGAGAGAAAGAGCCAATAAAATAGACCAGAGCTTCGTGGTCCAATTAGCCAGCACGGAGAATGGAGAAAAGTATAAAATGGAACCGATAATAAATGAAAGGAAATTCTGTGAAAAAGTGGTTGAGTTAAAGGAGGAGGAGATCATTTCATCTCGGTTCATTTTAAGCACAGCGGAGGTACAACCTGAAGCTGGTCATCGGCGAATAAAGCATAGAATTGGGTTCTTGCATGGGCTGAGTGGAGGGCAAGCACCGCGGCCAAGCCGACCAATCGACAGGCGCCAAAGAGCCCAGAATCGCCTAACGGTGTTACTCATCTTTGTTATTGTTCTCTTTATAATTGGTAGAATTCCCCAAGCTATAACATATGAACGGATTTTAAATTTGATGTTGAAGGACCGTGGACGTGGAGAACGTCTCCGAGCAAGGGCTAACTCAATTTCCTTTTTCGCCTACTCTATGAACATTTTTGCATATTTTAGCCTTAACAGGCACTTTCGCAGACAACTTGGTCTATTGTTCTGCCAATACTGTATCAAACATGGCAAAACTTGGAGTGTAAACTCGAAACAAGAATTATAATAGGTGGAAAGTTTAGCCGAATTCGCCGTTCCCCATTAAGCTTAACTTGTTTATCTTAAACATTACTCATTCTATACCTGATTCCCATTCAAGTCTCCAAATGAGCCTTGCCCTCGCCTTTTATCTTACTTGCTATATTCAGATTTATGCTTATATGGTTTGAGAAAACCTCACTTTGATAAACTATATACCAAATTAAATATTTTTTACTTATTAATGACAAGCTGCTCACTTGCTTTCATGATCAAAACTTTTCATTAATTGGGTTATAAAAGTATAGAATATGGAATAATTAATCTGAAAAATCTTAGTTGATAACTAATGCTGCGCACTCCTAGTAGCACATTTAAACACCCCTTTAATAGAGAAAACTAAAAAATATAAAATATCGCCTGATAAAATTTAAATCGGCATAGGAATAAATCGAAATCTACCTTTGTAATATGGCAGTAAATTTTAAAGCGCAAAATTGTGTTTGAAATACATTTAACAAGATCCATAAGTCTTTATCTAGGCTCTTAAGCATAATTAAATGTTTTCAATGAAAAATATGAAAGAATCTTGTTAGCTCTATCTAGCTTAAGATGTCTTCTTTATTTAACTTGTTATTTATCGCTTCAGATCTTCTTTATAACGTTAGAGAAAATTGGATTTTGAATAGTGGAGGTAGGA